AGCAAATGCCCACAATTGAATTTGGGACTCTCACAAAGACTAGCGTAGTTACCGCTACCACTTTACCACGAAAAGCGACATGCCTCTTTTCGCATCCTGCATAAACATTTGGAAAGCACGTCACTAGAGCAGTTAGGAATTGAACAAGTGGAAGTCACAGCGTCAATTTGGCCGACAGGCGGCGCTGCAACGAAAAATAGCCTCCACATGACGTCGAGGAACGTGTGATTGTATTTATTAGCGCGAGCGGGGCCACAAGAGGCAGGTGCCCCCCTAGGGTTCGAGTGGCCCTTCGGGCCCCACGGAACCTACGAATTAGGGCTCATTTGAGGACCCGAAGGGCACGAAAGGCCGGCCGGAGATCGCATCTAGGGGCCCCAATGCACGTATCGGTTTAAGAATAGTCGACTGAACCACTGCACAAGAAATAGTGCCGGTGGTTTCTTTCATGAAGTTATTTAACGCATTATTTTTACACTCTGTTGACCAAACTTCAAGCAATATTGATTTCGTGGTAGCTTCTGACTTATATTACAGTTATAGGAGGTAAAAATGAAAAATGTCAAAGAAAAACATTCCCTCATTAACAAATGGGTCATATCCAGACCTTTGGGTGGTCTTTCATTATCAGGGGTCCTCCGTCATCCCTGTGTCCCTCCCCTTGCCAAGGCTCTGGCTGTGCGCCTGATTCTGTTTAATATGTGTAGGAAATAGACATGGTACAACAGTTAAAAAACAGCTATATCTTTGTTTAATAGCTGTTAAAAGATGTAACGTTTCTGTTGTTTTAGATTATTGGTTTCAAAAGTTGCAAATAACTGCAGCATGGTCTTGCATTCGAAAAAGCCTTTTCTGGATTATAAACCACGATATCACGGATGTAAGAACACTCATATCTCGGAAAAGTCATTACTTTGGGCAAACTTCGTTGTCTTCGGGTTCAAGTAGTCACCTGGCTCAAATTCTGGCGTTCATCAGTAATTCAGGATTTTTTTAGGGTTTTCCAGTGTCGTTCTTCTAAGCTGTCCGCGCTTACTTATAAAGGAACAAAATAGCTGTGGTGGATGCCCACGTCACCCTGCCAAAGCTAAGTCGTCGCGATCAAATGGCGTCCCACCCTCGGGGCATATTTCCAAAAATATAGTTTATTAAAGCCTCATACAGTGATGTTATTAAACGCGCATCCACGCGTTGGTTGTTTTGCGTCTAATCGTACAAGAAAAAGAAGCCCAGACACACAGTACATGGAACTACACGTACAGGCACAGGTAAAAGCAGTTTCGGTGAAAGAATCAGTGATTTTAAACAGTCAAGAATGCCCGGCGTGAGGGGCCCAGCAATACCCGGTAATGCCCGGCATTGCCGAATACAAGTGTCTGCATGCATTGCATCGCGTGCAATACAGACGGATTGCGAGGATGTATTTTGTGGAATAAGCAGTTGACTCTGCAATGAAAACATTTCAAGGTAGCTTTCAAGTCGAATGGCTATGGAATGCGGCTCTTTTTTACGTAGTATT